TGTCGAAATCCAAGACAGACTGAAAGCAAGGCCTCTTGGGCCAGTAGGCTGAGTTGTGAATTCAAAGGAAAAATTTTTCCAGAGAATTAAAAGTGTTATTCCAGTGAACATACAAATGATAAGATGGTGAAACAGACTTGTTGCTGACATGGAGAAAGTTTAATGGTTTGGGTAGAAGATCCAACCAACCACAACATTCTCTTAAGCCAAAGCCTAACCTAGAGCAAGACCCTAACTATTTTCAATTATATGAAGGTTGAGAGAGGTGAGGAAGCTGCAGAAGAAAACCCTGAAGCAAGCAGAAGTTTCTTCAGGAGGCTTTTTAAAAAAAAAAAAAAAAAAAAAAAAAAAAAAAAAAAAAAAAAAAAAAAGCCATGTCCAGACATGGTGGCTCATGCCTGTAATCCCAGCACTTCGGGAGGCTGAGGTGGGCAGATCACTTGAAGTTAGGAGTTCAACAGCAGCCTGGCCAACATGATGAAACCCTGTCTCTACTAAATATACAAAAAAAATTAGCCAGGCATGGTGGTACATGCCTGTAATTCCAGCTACTCAGGAGGCTGAGGTGGGAGGATCATTTGAACCCAGGAGGCAGAGGTTGCAGGGAGCTGAGATCGCGCCTCTGCACTCCAGCCTGAGAAAAGAGCAAGACTCCATCTCAAAAAAAAAAAAAAAAAAATTTAGCCAGGCTCAGTGGTATATACCTGTAGTTCCAGCTTCTTGGGAGGCTAAGGCAGGAGGATCATTTGAGCATAGGAGTTTTGAGATCAGCCTGGGGAATATAGCAAGACCCATGTCAGGCTGGGTGCTGTGGCTCACGCCTGTAATCCCAGCACTTTGGGAGGCCAAGGTGGATCACGAGGTCAGGAGTTCGAGACCAGCCTGGCCAACATGGTGAAATCCCATCTCTACTACAAATACAAAAATTAGCTGGGTGTGGTGGTGTGTGCCTGTAATCCCAGCTACTTGGGAGGCTGAGGCAGGAGAATTGCTTGAACCAGGCAGTAAGAGGTTGTAGTGAGCCAAGATTGCGCCATTGTACTCCAGCCTGGCGACAGAGTGAGACTCCATCTAAAAAAAAGAAAAAAAAAACCCTTCCCCCAAAAAAGAACTATTAACTGTAACAGTAGTATAAAAGTGAAAAAGAGAAATCTAAAGAATCCCTTAGGGTGAGATTATACCCAAAGTATGAACAACTTAAATGGCTTCACAAGGCTGGGGATTCAGATGTCCTTGGAGAAGGTGTGGTTGCCAAGGCCGGAGCTTGTCCACAGTCATCTAGCAAACATAAAACACCCTTCTGGAGTATCAGGGGCCCAATCTGATAGGTGCATAGATGGTTGTGAGGAGGCAGGAAGCC